GAATGAAAAGCATATGATAGTACAGAGTCTCCCCTTTAAAATGCTTTTTTATTCATCTCGATACGATGATTTTTCGCCGAGATATTCGCATTTGAATAGAAAGGCAGCTTTTTACTTTAAATGCGAATAACTCTGCGAAAAATTATCGTATAAAGATGAATAAAAAGCATTTTAAAGGGGAGACTCTGTACTATCATATACTTTTTATCCCTTTAAGTTACGACATTTAACTCACGCCATGTGCTTGGCAAACTCGGATCATTATTTTTAATTTTGCATGTTCTCGTTTCATCATCCATCATTTTTAATAAATTTATTTCGCAATATTGAAATAAATAGATTCTTAAAGTAGAGATTTCAAGTTTTATTTTCATTTTTTAAAACCTTTCTATCTTTATTATTTACGAAACTATCGTCATTTGAAATTTGGTGACTTTTCCAAATTTTAAGTATATCGCTTTTTGGAGTGAGTGTATTTAAAAAATTAAATAACTGCAAAATAAAATCTAAATTTTCAACGCATTACACAAAATCAGTAATTATTGTAAATCATTTGAATTTAATTAAAAAAAAAGAATATAAAAATTTAAATCACGTAAGATTGCTGCTTTGCATATTGCAAATTAAAATTCGCTCTCGTGATGCTTGGCAACAGGACTACAATCTTAAACACAGACAGAATTGTCGAGATAAAGAACGAATAACGGTCGCAGCGACGGTAGTCTATCATTACTTAATCAAAGATCTGCTCCAGTTTACCAACATAGTGGCTGGCTTAACATCGGCAGATCGAATACGGCAGCGTAAACAAGAATCTTCAGTCGTAGACGGATAATTTCATGCACCGAGTAGCGCGGTAGCTAAATAACTCAAGAATCCCGGCGGGTCTAAACGAATTGTTCGTCGAGCGTTGTAAATCAAGGAGCATACGCGGAGTGATTATTACCTACCGCTTGTGAAGGTAGAACTTAACAACCGTGACGTAACGCCGGGAAACGATCGAGGCGAGCGAAAATGTTAATTGCGTGACAATATTCCACGTCGATTTTTATGAGCTCGCCCGTCACGATGCCGATCGTGTAGAACCGTTGTAGGAATCCGTCTCTTGTTTGAGAATTAATGATCGTTCGCAGGATCAGACGCTGACATTTTAGTCGACTGATATGTTTCTGGCTGTCTAGTTCAATCAAATTTAAGTGGATTATATTAGAAGAAATATATGTCATCCCACCAACTATTTAATATTCAATTTGAAAAAGTTAAACTTCTATTTTTATATATGTATATGTGTGTGACAAATTAGTAGAGTTTATAAAAATATTCCATCATCTTTCTCTTCCCACCACTTTAATGAAAGAAAGTTGTGCACATTCTATAATAAAGAATTATAAGTTTCATTAATTATTTCCATATAGATCCGCTGCTCGTTCATTATATACGCGAGAATGTACTTACACGTGTGTACGCATGCGAGACCGGAGGGCAGCGATTACGCAACGTGAAAGTCGTCGATGGAATTCACTCTTACTTCGACTTCGCCCTGACCTCCGATATAATGAGGGCGATCTGAATAATCTGGTTCGACGCGTATTTGGCAATGGACCCGTAACCGTTTTAATGACTATTGAGCGTTCCGCCTTTTGCTTTTCGAAGACGTAATATAGGCGTGTGACTGCGCACTTACATAATATTTAAATTAGATGATTGCGGTGTCATGTGCTGATGAAAAGATTGATCAAATGATGAATAATATCGTCGCTTTTTACAAGTTAAGTTTTGAATCGACAAAAAAATCATAAATATTTAATAAGTTTGTGAGACATTTACATTTTGCATTTGTAATTATTTAATCCTGCCAAATATAATCAATGTCAATGTCTCATTTATAGCCGAGGTTGTTTAACGTTTTTATTGGCATTTATACTGCATATAAGCGTGTGATCGGTTTCTTCCTACATACATTCTCGTTTTTTTCTAGGACGATGATTGGTTGCTGCGTTAAACTAACGTAATATTATATCGTTAAAATAAAAATTTTTGATATTGATCCGTCAAAGCAAAAAATTATTTCAGACCGCTGTTGACGGGCAATTTCGGTTCCGCGTGTATCTCGCAGTGTATGCGTTTTTACGCGGTCAGTGCCCATCGTCAAGCGGATGTAATATGAATAGTTATACCTTAATAGTTATATCTTTTAGGGATATAACACCGCAAAGAAGATTAAACTTTTATCAAGATTACATCCAGGTAAACCTTGATCGTCGATTCAACAGCCGGATATGTATGATACCGCGATGTGTTTGAGTAACGGGTTCGTACCGAACCATGAAGTTTCCGAGGCTGGCCATTCGTACGGTATCTCGTAAATAACTGTGTAACCATACGGACGATAGTTTTTCGTGTCTTCTTATCTCTGACAGATTTCCACGTCACAGATTTCCGCCTCTTTTTCTGTAGGGTGTATTTTTTATATACAGTAAAAGTATATCTACATATCAAATATATTAATTATTTTTTCATAAATGTGAGAGATTCAATAATATGAGAAATACTTACATTTCTACGATTGAAACAATTGGAATATAGAATAAAAGAAAAAATAAATAGAAAGGCAGAAGAAGAAAAATGTGATTCATTTAAAGGGAGAAAGAGAATATTAGAGTTTTAGTTAGAAATCGATTAAGCCAAATGTGAATCACTACCGGAATTACTATTCTGAACCTGACACCAAGTATGGTAGGCAATTCAAGGGAAGCCTGGATGTGTAACAAGCGAAATCGAGGGCGAGATCGATCTCAGCCAAGGCGAGCACGAACTTACTGATGAATGAACCGGCACGATAGAAGTCATAATGGATACAATCAAGAATCGATTTCCTCGTTGGCGTAGGCGATACGTGCTACGAGAAAGTTCTTCGATTAATTTATATCTCGCAAGCCTTACGGAAGTCGATGAAAGACTCCGCGTTCCTTCATGCGTTTTCTTAATCTTTATTACGCAGCTTCGTGCGCGCAACAAAAAACGCGAGAACGCATAGGTGCACATAAATTGCGGTTAATGACAAGTGCACGCATCGTGATGGTTACGTAAAGCTGACAGCCATAGTTGGTCGGGAAAATCATTTTATAATAATTCACACTATAATAGGCTCGTAATAGAAATATCTCTGCGCTAACAAGCTATTGGACGATCTCGTTATAACTTGAGATACTTTCTCTTCATTCAGAACTGGTTACGCTCAATTAATTGCAACTGTCTTGTGCACTTTCATTTATAATATTCCACATCCTATTTTGTGTCTACTTGAAAATAATTATTATAAATGGAAGATATATGACAGATCTATTTGCTCATCCTATATTTTGACGGCGATAAGTGGATATGCATAAAATCTTTACATATGCGCGATCATAATCGCTTTTAATGCCCCCTAATGCCAAATTTGTCCTGGTAGTGTGCAGAAGATGCGGAATAAAAATGGGAAGAACCTAATTAGGCGTATCTCCGAGTGAATTTATCGCGTGCCGTTAACTCGCGTCGCACATTTCTCTCTGTCCTTCGCGAAGGGACATTACAATTTAATCCGGCTATCGCCGCACCGTGAAGGCCGATTAAGGATAAATTCGAAGTTGGCTGTAAACGTCCGGATGCGCCGATAAAACATTCGTGCTATCCATTCGCGGAAAGGACGTAACGATTCGCGCAACACAACATGTTCATTGTAAATCAATTCAAAATGGTGAAAATGCGATGTGTGTATAAATCGCTTTGCGAAACGACACGAGGATTTATATGCTCGTATTGTAAATACCGTGCCGCACACGGGAGAGCGAGCGCACGTTTATATTCGGTTATAAATTTCCGCGCGATTGCACCTGCGTCGTGCTGCAAATCGACGAATTACCGATGTAATCGAAGTTCGCGTGACACGGATTGTCGTTGAAGATTCCCGCAAATTTGATCCTAAATGATTCTACCGATTGATTTCGCAATATGATTAAATAATATAACGATTGCATAAAATTACTTTTCAATACATGAAATTGATCGGTGAATTATAAATGATAAGTTTTTCGCCGGAAAAATGTTTAGAAAAGCGTATATGAAATTTATTGACTTATGCAAGATGCCGTGTAGTAAATCGAATAAATATGTTTAACAAGATCTAAATCGCGCGCTATCGAGGATTAACGTAAGAAGGAATTGCGATGATAGCCTTAGCCGCACGTAACGGTTGCGGGTTTAATGAAAATTGTAGTTAGGCGTGATGTTGAGGCATAACTCGATCAGTTATTTATCTATCGCGTTGTACGGCAACTTAAATTGCCTTTATGAAACTGGATCTTAAGATCTCGTTAGGCCGGGCTATAAATGTCTATGTTCGTTTCGAGACGCGGAGCGCGCCGTATTAACAAAGTGGGTCAAATTGACATTGTGATTTCGCAAAGGATTATTAGTTGTTGGCCACGGTGATTTTAATGGCTGGAACGTAGGTAGGTTTATGAAACCAGTCGGCGCGACACAGCGGCCGGTTTTTCGCCCCGCTATATGCGAAAGCGCGCACCTCAAAGTGGAACGAGTTTCCACGACGTAGCGCGTGTGCAACAACGGTAACGTTTGTCACGTTCCGCGTGGAGAATGAAGCCACGGAGCGCTAACGAACGGACTAGACGAAACTAGGTGCGAAATGACGTTGCACACGTGGTCTCGTTACCTCGTGTCTTCTTGTCACGAGAAAGCGAAATCCCGTAAATCTCTCGTCAATGAAATGTCGAGTGTTTCACGACAATAGCGCGTCTCTTTTCTATACAGAGAAATTCTCAATCTTTTGTAAATGTAAAGAATACCGTATTTATAGAAGTGACGTATGAAAAGATATGAGAAATATTTTATTAATATTTATGTATTTTTATTATCTATTTTTATTTTTATTATTTTGACAGATCTGTCTTTAATAAATGTTTTATTGCATTTCACGTGTAATTTTATTTATGTTGCAGGCTGGTTCTCAGTGGTTTCCAATAATAGCGGTACCGGAAATGCCAGAGTGTACAGAAGAGTCGGTGCGTTGGTGCGCGCTGGTGTGCCGGCGTTCTTACTCGCGAAACCATTGCGAGCTTACACGTTGACGCACTCTAAAATGGGTAAATTACTTTAATTATCAACTTCTAAATTCTCATATGTATTTATAAACTGAGTCTTTTAATTAGACTAATTTGTATATAATTTTAAAATTCTTTACATACTATGAAGTTATTATAGTTTATATATTAAATTATAATATTTATCGATGATACACAAGTCGTTAATTAAATCTCGAGGACGTGATCTATTTCTTTTCTTTTTGATAGTTTAAAACTACTTTAGCAATATTTTAAATGATTCTCTTTTTCGCGCACGCTTTTTTTCTAACGAGTGTTAACTAAAGATTATTTACATATATCTCGCGTCACATCTGCCACCCGTCAACTTTATTATTCCAGTCAACCCAAGTCCGCATTTTCCATGGGCCAATTGTCACGATTGTGAGTATCACCCGCTGCGATCTGCCTGTGAAAATGCGGCCCGTTACGAGCTACAAACCGCGATTCGCGTATATTAGTACGCATTTATGTTTACAGTCTAGATTATTTTTTAAAATGAGAAACCCATATTCTTCGGGAAAGTGATACTTAAAGAAATGTAAAAAATAACGATGTGTATATGCATGTAAACAAATGAATTTTGAGAGATCTAGCACGTATTTCTTTCTTAATAACAGGATAAGGATGATCTAAATTTAGTAATTATGTGAATAAATTGTTATGATTATGTATTTAATTTTAATTTTCTTTTTATGGGTAAAGCACTTAGGGGTTTAATGCCCTACATAATTCTATGCATAGGGACGCGTACTTACGTATCCTGCCTCGGATTATTTTCTTCAGAGTGCAGCGACTGGCCGTGACACGAATGTCAATGCGGACGTAATGTGCGGTTCTCGTGGCGTATTGTCGGTTGCCATATTCGTGCATTTAAACGTAAGGCGAGCTTTAAGAGCGACAGCCGCGTAACGTAATAGGTATGCGGCTCAGTGAAAGCCGTCCTTTGCGACGCGCGTGCATAAACGGCTGCAAATGCGTATAAGCACAGCTCGCGGCGCGAGCATTATATCGTTATATGCACCGTAACGATTATGATCCGCGTCGGAAAACGGGGGATTCCTTCATCCCTCTCGACTCCTCCTGGTTCCTTTCACGACGCCTCCCTGGACGTGTCACGTCAGTATACGTTAGCCAACGCGTTTATTGACGTTAATTGCTCGCCATCCCGCCTTTCGCTATCTTAGGACACAGTAACGGTACATGATCAAGGCATGCGTCGCTGATTTGATATAGAAAACCGTTGGTATGAATGACATATCAAACGGCCGATTAAGCTACATATATAATTATATCAGAAACGAGTGAAGATTTTTTTCTGACGAGAATATGTTGAATAATGTTCGGTAAAGGAGATTTATGTCTATATATATATACACACATATCTTGGATCGAAGTTTTGAAATTTACGAAAACATTACGAAAAAATCATGTTAGATAGCTCATCATATTAACTATAGTACTTTACCTTCTCATTATCATATAAATTTCTATCTATTTCTCTCACTTGATTTTGACATATTAGCATATAATTGAAACATATTCTATATACGAGCTAGTTCTCAGCATTCTCATAACATCTAGTGCATTGCATGACATTATGTACTAGTATTGCCTATGCGAATACATGGGTGAAATAATGCTAATGAGCTAATTAACAGCTATACCCGCATTATTAACTCGCGCACATCGCTTTTCATAATGGCAAAATATTTTATGTCAGCATTAATTAAATACTATCATAAGATAGCGACATAATTTCCATTGTATTTAACTTGATGATGTATTAGACGCACTCCATTAAATATCTCTATAAATTATTTTCGTAACATATACGCACATAAATATTACTGAAATCAGCTTAAACTTAATTCTTTGTATTTTTCCACAGTCTTCTAAAAGAAGATAGACGAATCAATTAAATCTCAATATTAATAAAATGGTTCTCCGTTGGATAACAAAAAATATTTTTAAAAACACGTGACGTAACGTAACGATATATTCAATCCTAAAATTATGAAGAAATTAATTGTTGATATCAATGTTTAAAACTTAAAAAAAAGTGTTTAAAAATATAAGAAAATATTAAAATATAAAATGGTTCTCCGTTCGATAATAAATCTCAATTGAATTTCACTGTTTTGTGGAAGTGCGTTTACATTAATTTTCGATCGATTTCTATTGCGCAGAGAATGGAAATTTGCGAGCCCATTACACGAAGACGACGGTACGCCCTGGCGAAGTCCTGCGGTTGACCGCCGTCTTTCAGGACACACGTCGGGCTCCGGTCGCCGGTGGCGTGTCTGGAGTAATCCCGGAAGGCAAATCTTCGAGATCCTCAGAGAGGGATCAGTACGCTCAATGCTTGGACTCTCATGGGCACGAGCTGTTCGCGCCGCTTTCGGCTAGAGGCGAGTTCTACGCGATCTGTCAAAGCGGCAGCCTCGACACCGGCAGCGACGCGGTACTCTACAGAGTTCACCAACTCGCCAGGAGGGATCTTCCCCTGAGGGTAAACTTTATCGCGTCTTAAAATTAATGTCGTATAACGCAATCACTCTTACCTACTTCTCGTCGCCCGTTTCTTTCTTATAACACTGATGGGAAGTCATTATTGTATGATGATAATGGAAATAAGAAACCTCCTACTTCATAAATTAATATGAATTAATAAAAAATGAAACATGGGTAGGTATCATATTTTTTATGTATCTATCTTCTTTCTAAAAATTATATTTTTTTATTGTCATATTTACGTTTTATTAAGGAAAACTATAATTTCCTTGATAAAGAACTCGCGTAATGATCTTCAGGTACGTCTGGTTGCTGGACCTCTGCCTATACCGCTGCCCCGAGATTACAGTGGTCTGATGCAGTTGGAGAACGCAAATAGAGGGCCCATAGTTCTCGGCTGCGCGGTGCCGTTGATGCCTGAAAGACCTTTACCTAATTCCACGGTGCCGGAGCTCCTGGAACTCGTCGCTACTGGTCCAACTGCGCCGAGAGTGAAAAGGGCACGATTGGGATGCCCTTCCGAGGCGAGACTGCTTGCATCGCCGAAAATGCAGCGATTACTCTCGGCTTGCAGGTAAGAATTGTATGGAGGAATATTATTTGCATTGCATCAAATATTAATTATTTAAAATACTCTGTATTAATACAGAGTTTAAAAGTTAGAATTATTAAAATCAATATTATATAAAATGTAATTAATTCAAAATTAGCTTAAGAAAATAATAGTGCAGTGAAGAGAAAAGTTTCTTTTTTAAATATTTGTTAAAGTTTATATGATTAATGAAGATTGTTCATTCGATTCTTAACACGATCAAGAAATGTTTTTATTAGTCGTACTGCCAAATAATAGCTTACATGTATTATATAAGAAATAAGATGACACACTAGATGAGGTCACCTTTGATACCGCTTTATAGAAGAGCCTTAGACCAGCGGGCTACCGAGCCGCGAGTCGCTCCGCCGAAACCGGCGTCCAACAACAGTCAGTTGAAGGAGCTGCACTTGAAGGAGATTAAAGCGAAGCCTGAGGCGAAGCCGATACTGCAAAGTCTGAAGGAGGGTCTGGAGCACATCAAGAAGACGACGATCCGCGATCGGAGCAACAGCCGCAATGTCGGCAACAACAATAGCTTCCTCGACAGGATCTCGAGGATAGCGCAGGGTGGTAGAAGCAGGAACCCGGCGAAGAAGTCGGCGTCCTTCACATTCGCCATACGACCGGAGATCGGTATGCGATCGCCCGAGAGGTATGCCAGTCTCGAGTCGGAAACGAATCTGATGCAGGCAGCGCAGGCGTCGTCCAGGCAGCAGGTGCAACGTTCGGTCTCGACCAGCGTTCTCGAGGTACTGAGCAGCAGCACGGATATGGATCCACCATATTCCAAAGTCAGAGACAGCTTGACGCCACTGCCTCCCACACCGCCGCCAAAACCGGAAGAGATATACGCCGAAATCTGTGAACTCGGGAGCAGTCCGTTGCGAGACTCGTCGTACGAGGAGGAAAAATTACCTCTCGCGGGAAAAAATGGCACCAGGGAACGAGATCGAGGGGGTTACGTGAAGCTTGCGTTGTCTCATTCCGAGGTGTCCGACCTGTCGGCGAGCACCGGCGACGATGAAGAGGGCATTTATAATACTGTGTGTTGAGAGTGCGCGTCTTCTTCTGTGGGTCTTCTGGGGATAGAATCAACATCCGTTTACGACTCGCGGTAATTGACTTCATGGTTAACCGGAACAAATGACGTGATGTGTAAAGAGTAGAGAGGTCACGGAAATTCTTGGTCGCAGCTGCGAATGTCGACGAACATCTGTAACCGCGAATGATATTGGTGAACGTTTGTCTTGTAAAGAAGATGTTTGAAAGAATCTGTAATGTTAGAATGGTCGAGTCAGTAAATTTTTACAAATGTTTTTTTTTAATGACGAAGAATATAAAAACCAAGTGTTTTATAGATTGAAAAATAATTTTATTTTTATACACAAGATTAAAAATTATTCTCCAAAGTGTTCTCATCGATTCTCGACGTTCTACTATTAAAGGGCGAAGCAAAACGGACAGGTACGGCGCGTTTTCCGCGTTAGAGAGAAAAACACCGAGAGACGGAAGCGATAGATATCGATCGCGTCCGCGAAAGATGAGGATTGAGATTAACGGCTCGGCTCGTCGTCAAGGAAATTACTCCGCTAGCAGTTTCTTTCGTCGCGGGAGGATCCGAGTGTCGAGGAGTCGCCGATACGAACGCGAGCGTCATGGGATACCGCGTGGAATGATTTACAAGGCTGTTGACCGAGGAAAATGATCCCGTAATTACGGGCCCCGGTACACGCTGCTGCAGCGGATGTAGTGGGGCACGCCAGCCGGACCTGCACGCAGCAACGCTTCTTCGTGGCTTCCGTCATTAAAGAATCTGTCGCGAGAGGCATGTTAATAGTAGCGGGTTCCGCGATTACCTCGGCCACGGCCGCTGGGTGACATTGATATCGGAAAAATGCACTAAAAAAAATAATCCGTTCATCGTTGAAAATTGTTGTCGATGATGTGATTCTAACAAACGTGTATTTGTTTCATCACTAATAAATCTAATGGAACTTTGAGATTAAATCAAATTCAAGTTCTTAATTATTATTTAAAATTCTGTAGGGTAAAATTGCTTTCTCTTCTATTAAAAATTTCTATTAACATTTAGAGACCTTAAAACCACAGTTTGCGTCGCGAATTTAATTTGTCATCGACGATGACTTCTTGCGGTCTTACATGATCCCGAGCTCGGTGTTTTGTAAGACAATGTAAGAACACGACGCGAGGAGTGGAATTTTTTAGAGCCAGCGATGACGTTTTATGTTTACGTGATCACGTACGAGGGGAACGTGAAGCGGATCATTGAACGTCGGATCTAAACTTCCCGAACACGTTCGAAGGCAAGTGTGTATCGCGGAACATGCAACCGACGCGGCACGAAGAAGTCGACGTAGAATGTAAACGAGCCGGTCGGTGGCTTTTAGGAAGAGGAAATTACCGACGTCCTTCGAAGGTCTAGGTCATCATCGGGATGGTTGCGGCTCGGAAACGAGGTAGTGGACGGTAATGGTTTAGGGTTGTCGAGCCGAGCCGCGCACGTTCGCTCGACTGGGGTGATATTTTGTGACGATTAATTCATTAGCTCGTCACGCTTCACGGCGTTTGGCTTCCTTTTCGATGTACGATGACCCCGAAGTTTCGCGCGCTCTCTTACGCCCGGTTGCGTGACGTTGCGCGATTGGCTGTTAAACGCGTGATTACAAACCTCGTCAGTACATAGCAGATATTGCGTTCGAAACGCTTCGAGGAAACCAGCAGATACTCCTGTACCTCTCTCTTTTGCTCCCTCGTCTATTTTTTCACTCTTTCTCTTTCTCTCGCATGACGAAGCGCTTGGAGCTGCCAGTCGGTCGCTGCATCGTACGAGCGAGGATGATGAAGAAAGGGCGTAAAAATCGAGGGAACGATGGGCGCCTAATGGGAAATACCCGCGGGAGAACGCGAGGAAACCAGGACTCGCTTGCTGAAGATTCTCAGAGAATCTTAACGGGTGTAATCTTGTCTAATTCGACGTCTTCGGTGTCCCTTTTCTCCCTTGCCTTCCTTCAAATCGCGTGCGCGTGATAATGATGTAATATTTGCAGGTTTTGTGCATATTCAAATGAAGTCGTTAGTGGAAATAAAGACAGATCGTTTCTACAACGAAATACAGCACCGTAAAATGTATATTCCTTGTCAGCTCCCTTGTTAACGTTAGAGTAAAATCATCTTGAGCTTGCAGCGGAAATATGCAGGTAAGTGATTTTTTTCATTCTTTCTCTTTTGTCATGCCTGTCTCATTATCATTAAGTAATCCATTTAGCGAGTGATATATATGGAGATATCCACTTTCTCGCTGGCCAACGCGCATATGTTCGCCATTATTCACTTCGTCCGGCTCACCCACGATCGCGAACGCAGCAAATTCACGGCTAAATACATCCGCGCGCTTTCAGGAATAATAACGCGAAACGATCGTCGACGCTCGCGCCGGCTATTGGTCATTAATGTTTTTACGAGCATGCAGTACGCACAGCTGTGTCTATTCAATTATAGCGAAGAGAGGGCTCCAGACACACAGGTCCAGCGGCCCCCCTGGCATACCTCTCTTTCTCGTCCTCGCCTCGACTCATCCCCCGCGTTCATCTCTTCGTCTTCTTGTCCCTCTTTATTTCTCTTTCTAGCACGGCAACACGCATTTACGTCCATTAATATTAACGGCTCGAAACAACGATAATAACGGGGAGCTATAGGGAAGCGGAGAGGTGTTCTCTTCGACGGTCACGTCGTGCAACACGTCGACCCTTTCGCATAGCTCACGTGACCGTTGCATGCATCATTCTCACCGCCGAGATCGACAATGCCAGGAAAATGCGACGACGATTTTTTGTCGTCAGGTAAGTTCACGGTTCTGAGGCTGTCTAAAGAGATTATGCTGTTACGACCAGGAATATTATGAGAACTGAAGGCATGTATTCTGAAAAATATTTTACAAGTAACACGATTTACATGTAACATATTTTATATCAGTGTAAAATATGAGAATTACAAAATGTCAGAATGTTATGTACTAAATATAATGATCTGCATTTTCTTGGTCAAGTAATTACGCAAGAGAAAGTTAAAAAACGAATAATACTACATTACTGATTATCGTAGAAAATTGGTACCGTGCAAAACATAACGCGGTACACGATATGTAAGATTAACAATGTGGGTTAGCGTTATACCGGATGGATTAAGAAGCGCGATAGCCGGAGCTGCCGTTTCACGATTCTCAAAGACACTATTATTATCATAATTATTACTATATCGCTATCGTATCCTGAACAAATACCGTGCCGGACTCGGCGTAGATCGATCGGGACAACGCATAGGGCGCTATCGGGATCCGGCGATCTCTGGTCCACGGGTGCATATTTCAAGATCGGCATGCGTGAACGGTCTCAGGGCCGTCGGGTTGCTTTTGCGGTTGTGTATAACTCGGCTTTACTGCGGCTAATGCGACGGACACGGAGCGCTAGGTATCGTATTTCGCGAACCCGGGTCGACCGATCGTGGAAGCAAGTTTTAATATGCAAATTAAAATGCAAATAATGCACTCCCTCTTCGTCTTTTACTCGCATCCGTATAGTCTACCATTTCTCTCTCTAGGCGCATCTCGCACGATCGTCATCCCTCATCCTGTAGCCTCAGGACAAGGACGCGTCCTTTTTTCGCTGCGCAAGATTTTATCTTTTACATTTCTTTTTTTTTTTTTATTTATTTCGTCTCTTTATCTGTTTATCCGGTATTCCGTCGCCCGTCTAAGACGCAGAGATCAATTTTCGAATCTATCTATAATACATTCAAAATGAAATCTTTCTATATATATAGAATTAAATTGTAATTTAAATATAAAAAGAAGTTTTAGATAAGAATTTTTACTGCATTATTTAATTGTTTTTACTTTTAAACAAATATTATTATTCATGAGCACGTGAAAATCATCGCTTTGATATCGCAAGAATCACTTGCTGTTGTGTGTATTGTTCTTAATACAAATTCCAAATTATCACTCACGATTAAATCTATAACGTTATATGTACACACCTTTCCTGAATGACGATATAAAAGGATTATATAAAGAGTAACAGGATGCGAACAGGACGGATCTTTGAGCTATCGTATGCGTAATGTCTTCATTCAGCCCGACTCCTATCATAATCTCCCGGTGATGAACGAGCGTCCTTTATGCAGGGACGTAGAACGGAACGAGATTAAACGAAGAGTCATCAATAGGCTGGTCGCATTAAACCTGCGTGTACTCGTTGTACACACCGGGAAAAATCGGAACGAGTCAATTAGTCGCACCCTACCTGTCCAATATACAAAACTTCTTTCTCTTTCTTTTTTTTCTTCTTTTCTTCGTCTCTCATTCTCCTTTCTCCTTAATCGAGATCACGTGTTGCAGGCGAGATATCTGTGAACTCTAGTCATTTTATGGTCATGCTTAACAAATAGCATTTCGCTGAAGGTATCGCATACGCGCAACGTTATCGCACTCCGACATCGACTAAAATGAAGCGCTGCAATTATTTATGAATATCCCGCGGTCGGCCGACGCAAAACTCACCGATTATTTTGGTAGTCGAGTTTTGCGTAATAAGTACATTGCGCATCCGAGTCCATATAAGTGCAACTTTGCCGGCGATATATAATCGGTATAGTATGTATCTATCACGTAAAATCGATGTACATCGAATTAAACCTGTAATCAAAATTGATCAACAGATGAATTATCTTGAATCTTGATCTTTTTTTCGATAAAATATTATTTTTGCTGCCTTATACATAATAATTTGTTGAGGCAAAGTAAAATTTCGTATTTTTACAATCTTTAAATACGCGTGCTTATTTCTCTTGTATCTTAATTTATTATCGCGTCTTAAAATATCATTTTGAATTTTAATGTCTCCGATATAATATGTGCATTCAAGTACAACGAAAGCGATTACAAGTGATCTACTAATCAAGTGACATCGTGACATGCGTGCGTGTCGTTAAGTGTTGCACGTGACATAATTGGGTTGCAGGAGAAATGAATTGGCTATGGTCAGCCAACAGACGTAATAGAGAGAGAGAGAGAGAGAGAGAGACAGAGAGAGAGAGAGAGAGAGAGAGAGAGAGAGAGAGAGGGAGAGAGAGCAATGATGTGCCTCGCTTGTTGCAGCTGCATTGAAATCCCCGTTAGATGACGAGAGGAGATATACCTTATCTAGTGTCCAATGTATAATCTTAAAAATCGGTTATTGGTAGAGAGTTTGTAATGCTGAATCTAAGAAATTCAATAAATCAACCTATTCTTGTTGGCCCTGTAGCCTGTATAAATGCGAAATCAATAATATTTCTTATATGATTTTTACATTGACATTCTACTTTGCAATATCTTTATTTATATTTGAATATTGTACGTAGAAAAAAAAATAAAAGCAGTTTTTATAAAATTGCGAAACTATCGATTAATCTTAAGAACTCAATTGACTCAGCTGTTATTGATTGTGAGACTCAAAAATTCAAGATATTCTTAACCGAACAGATCATTATCGTATAGATACATTATCGGTCTGACTCTCGCTCTTATTTGATCAGCTGTTACAAATGTATTTGACGTCTAACACTATCTCTCGATATACGTACACCATCGCGACGATAGTTCTATTATAATCCGCATGATTGCATACAGTTGCATTGACGCGAGTCCATAATGGTTGGGACTGGGGTGATAGTGAGAGGAGAGGAAGATTGCGGTGGAAGAGGGTGTGGTGAGATGAAGAAAGAGGAGAGAAGGGTACGTTGGCGTCGCCTGGAATGTCCGAGAACAACGAACGATGTGCCGATACGACGGGTTTACCTTTTACAGTCTACCTACCGATCGTTTCGTCCAACTGCACTTTTAATATGTGCACGCATTATATATCTTTCTCTCGCTCCTAATTGCATCGCTGTTTGCACTTCGAAAATGAATCTTTTTTTGCAATGCATAAACCTTTGATACTATATACATATA